TGAGCTTGGTGAATTACAGTGCGATTCTCCTTTGGCATGCTTACAATGCCCATGCATAATTGCTGTCATGCCAAAGGAGACTTGCCCTGCCATCACCACTACAATTATTTGTTTGCAGTCATAATAACAATTTTAACAACAAATAAAGTATTATTCCAACCACCGGGGTTATAAGGATCCAAGAAGGTCTGTACAACTTAACCCTTATAAATGTGTATTCATAATTGGGGATTTGGTGGTATTATTACGAAGGTTAAGTATAAGGAACAGACCCAATCAGCATGTTTGAATAGTTTCTCACTAAGATCCTTTTCATTGAATTTTTTTATATAAATATTTTCCATCCCATTAACATTTTCCTTGAACAATGATACATTTTCCTTGACCCAGTCAGTTTGGACTAATTTTCTCTTAACATTCAAGTATTTTTCTGCTTCTATGGGAAGCCTGGAACTGATTCAGCAATCTTGCCAAGGGAATGTTGTGAAGGAAAGACTAGATATCAATGATACAACTTTTTTTATTATGCATTCATGTTAGTCTGTTACTTCTTTGGATGGAGCTTAAAGGAAAGTAGTGTACGAAAACTTCACCAAGCAGTGTACAAAACCTTTCTCCTATTTTTGAGGCCCCATCACTGAGGCCCTGTTCCGTGTCCAACCTATAGGACCGGTTTAGGATCGGGACTGGGAGAATGTCTTTAGGAAGTTTAGGTATGTACCTAAGTGTTTTAATGTTATAGGGGTCTCTTAAATCATCTCCAATGGCGAGATTTAAGGGAGTTTTATTAGGAGAGAGTATTTTTTGCAAAGGATACCAATAAGTTGGTATCTAAACTTAGCAACTCCAAAAGAAAGTTGCTAAGTTTACATACCGAACTTTGAGTCTCATTTGATAAAAAGTGTGGGCTTCTTATTAATATTATAATATATTTTATAATTCATTTAAATTTTACTTTTATTTTATTTTATTTTATTTTGAAAAACTTTCAATATGGATTTGGTGGACCACAAATTAAAAGTGACATTGATATATTTTAGTGAGTCTCACCATTAGGAAATTAGACTTCACATGAGTTGTTAAATTGAGAAATGGGTTGGGTATCACCATTAGAGGTAAAAAATAACTCATTTTGTATTTCAATACTCAAAATTGAGTATCACCAATAAAGATGGTCTTATACATTGTAGGCAATAGATGTGCGTAGAAACCTCTATATATGTATGTTCCTTTAGAGGTGGGAACCATCTAAATAGTTGTAGTCTAGAACTCTGATCACTATTTGAGGAGGTCAAGAACTCTCTAGAATTAGGGACCAGAAGGTTGGATGCCTATAAATATGTCATCTAATTCATTTATACATTTTAGCCAGCACCTTCAACTTTTGTATTCTCTTTTAAAAGTAATTTAAGCGTTATTTGAAATCACTTGTGAGCATTTTTCTCTTAATTAGTGCTAGCCTTAGAAACTTTAGACGAAAAAAAATATTAAATTAATCTACATCCATTTAACATTATTTACAACTTTGAGCCTTTTACATCGTAAAAAAAGAAAGATAATTAATAAAATCAATGGAAATTTGTCAAGACCACCGCATCGCCACCAATACTCACCCCACCATGGCCAACACCCCCACCACCAGCCACACTGCGGTCACCACCACCGGGCCACCTTTTCACCATTTGAACCTTTGTGAAACCATTGTAACCACCCAAAATTCCACCCAAGCCACCAACGATTACCCACCACCGTTGTACCTTACCCTAACCACCCAAAAATCCACCCAAGCCTACCAAATCATCCCAAACTAATAAAAACCACTCCACCTCCTTCAAATAACCCATCCAACCCACCGACAACCACCCTAAAAAACCTAGAAACTCACCCAAACCATCGATTGCCAAACACCCGACCACTGGCCACAACACCACCAACTCTCCCACCACCGGTCACAACTCACAACACCACCAACTCTCATCGAGTTATTGAAAACTAATTTAGGATCAAAGATCTTTGCTAATATAATCGGTGATTGAAGAACAAAAAGAAGTTGAGAGAATGAGATCCGACAATAGAGAATTTTTTTTTTTAATTGATTTTCAGAACAAATTACAAAGTATACATGACTCTATATTTACAGTTAGTTAAGGGACCTGTGCAACCTCTCAAACTTGGGCCCTAACCCAAAGTTGAGTTTGAAAAAAAAAAAATTACTACTGTACAATATAAAAACTATGAGTAGTAATTTGTAGAATTATATATATATATATATAGGGTCGGGATCCGGTGAGAACCACCCCTTATGCGAGACCAATCTATTATGTGAGGACAAATACGAGCCATTAGATTGTCTTAATCCAACAGCTGAAATTGTGGCATTCATAATGGCAATAATGTAATTATCAAAAAAACACAAATTAGCCACCAAACAAACAACACAAATTAGCCACGAAATTTTCTCACCGATTCCATGGCGATATGCATGGCGATTCCAAACAATTTCAGCCATTAGTTCTTCAATTTCTCAGCGAAATTCCTCTTTTCTTTCGCGAGTATCAATTATCAATTTCCATAAGGTATGTAATTCTTTTAGTTTTGAATATCATTTTCGATAAAATTTTGGAAATTTTTCGTTAAAATTTTCGATTATACTCATTAAAATTCAATGAGAAATTTTCGATTTGAGTATTTGAGAACAAATAAAGTGCTTTAAATCTTAGTATATGAAAATTGCAATGTTAATTGTATGATACAAAAATCAATTTCGAACAAGGTGTTTGTAATTATCAATGCATACAAGGTGTTTGATAAAATGCTTGTGAGAAAATGATAATTGATTTGCATGTTTATTGCTTGATAGTTTTTTGATTTTTGATTATATTTACTTCATTTCTGCAATTTCGAATTGAATCAGTAATTTAGGTTTAATTAATTTTTTAGACCTTAATTTTAAAATGAGCAATAGTAAATGAGCAATGAGTTATTAGCTCATTTGACATATGAGCAGTAAATTATTTGATCATTTTAAATTATTTTTCACAGCAATTGGAAAAAGTTTTTCTTAGACAAGGACATTGAAACTAAATATATTGCAAATTTAGTCAAGGAATTAGAAGCATTGGCTCGAAAAGCTTGATCATGGCTTCTGGGAAATAATAAGTTAGAGTTCTGGGAAATAATAAAACATTCTGCATTTAGATTCATGTTTTTATTATGAGATGATACATTCTTGCCATTTTTCCTTCTCTTATAATCAAAATGAGAAAATAAATAGCTCATTTGGAGGTTGCTAGAGGTTGGGGGTTTATGAAAGTGAACTTAGAATGTGATGCTCTTTCAGCTGTCACATTATATTTATATTGGAGCTGCTCCTAGTTCTTGGTCTGGTTGCATGTGCACAAGCCCCACCCCCTTATTGGACTGTTTACTGCATACCAACCACACTCCCTTCTTCAACTTCCTTGCCCAAATCTATCCCCCTGCCCCTTCGTCTTATATAAAATCATTTTCAGGTTTATTTATTGAGAGTCTGTGTGAAAGTGATTTTATGGAGATGCATATTCACATGTTATTATTTTGTGAGAATGTTAACAGAAATGACGGGGAACAACGAACAACTTGACAATAATTCAAGTACCATCACAAATGTTCCAAGTACTCCTACAATAGTAGTATCTCCTAAAGTAGCACATTTCCTCACTCGTGGAGGAACAAAGGAATGACTTCTGATATGCCCCAATGAGTTGAAACCAGCTATAGGTATGAAGTTTAATAATCTTGAAGAAGGCCTTGAGTTTTATAAAAGTTATGCATTCGCTGCTGGATTCAACACAAGAAAGTCTACAACTAAAAGACAAAGAAGAAGCAAAGAATTGAAATCACAATATATATTATGCAATAAAAAAGGATACAAAGAGAACAGAAAGGCTACTACTGAAAACGATTTAAATATCAGGGAAGGAGGAAGCAATGAAGATAAAGCTTCAATCAAAAGGAAAAGACTTGTTATCCGTGTTGGGTGTAAGGCACATATTGTCATAAAGCATTGTGATGATAACAAATTCTTAGTGTCACAATTTCATGAGGGACATACACATGCATTATATACACCCAGTTGCAATCTCTTCCAAAAAGAAGGCAGGAAAATGAACATGTTGCACAAAAAAATAATTGTGAATAACTCTAAGGTAACACTTTAAAAGTTTGTTATGTTTCATGTATAATAATTATTTGCTAATTTGTTTGAGAATTTATTATTGCGCATTGAATTATTTGTTCATTTATCAATCTGTTTTGTTCTTTAAATAGGTGAATATTGGTCCCGTTACAACTTTTCGAATAATGAAGGAAATTGTTGGAGGATATGATAACATTGGTGCATCTAACAAGATTTCAAAAATTTTCATCGAGACTTAAAAGCATACATATTCAAGGTGATGCTCAAATGTTTGTGGATAATTTTACAAACAAAAAGCTAATGTGGAGCGCTTTTTTCTTTGATTATGAGATGGATGAAGATTATTGCCTTTGTAGAACATTGTGGGCAGACACCCTTTGTAAAAAAAGTTATGCTCTATTTGGGGATATGATATCCTTTGATACCACTTACCAAACCAACATGTAATACATAATAATCACAATTCATTTTTTATGTTATAACCATGGCTTATTTCACAAATGAGAAATAAGTTATTAGCTCATTTAACAAATGAGTAGTAAATTATTTGATCATTTGTCAAATGAGCATTGAAATATTTGGTCAATATATGTATATGTATATGTATACAGGTACAATGGTGTTTAATTTGTATATTTGTAGATGATTTGTAGATGTATGCCAGCACTAAATTTAATCTGTATATGTATACAGGTACAATATGGTGTTTACTCCATTTACAGGGGTTGACCATCATAAGAGTTGCATTACTTTTGCTGCTGGTTTCATAGCAAAGGAAGATATTGTGTCATTTGAATGGCTATTTAGATAATTTCTCAAGGCAATGGGGGGGAATGAACCTAATTGTATGATCACAGATCAGGATCCAGCAATGAAAATTGTTGTTGCAAGTGTGTTTACGAAGACTGAACATCGTTTCTGTATGTGGCACATAATGAAAAAGTTACCTGATAAGGTGGAGAAATCAATCATGCAAGAGGAAACTGGTTTCCTAAAAAAATTATGTGCTTGTGTTTGGCATCTTGACATTGATCCAGCTGAGTTTGAAGAAAGGTGGAACAACATGATGGTTGAATACAACTTAGAAGAACATGAGTGGTTAGGTTATATGTAAAAGATAAGGGACAAGTGGATTCCGGCATATTTCAGAGATGTGTTCCTTGGAGGTATAATGCGTACAACTTCAAGATCTGAAAGTGAAAACAATTTTTTTTGCTCCTTTATCAATCCTCACGTGTCACTTGTTGAGTTTTACTTGAGATATGAAGCTGCAATTGATTCCCAAAGACACACTCAAGGTCAGAATGATAATGATTCAAAGCACAAATATCCTGAGTGCAAAACACCACTAGGGATAGAAAAGCATGCAATGCATTTATATACCAACTCCGTGTTTTATGAATTTCAATATGAGGTTGAAATTGCTTGTTTTTCTTATGGTGTTGATGAATTGAAGAAAGAAAATGGATTGGAAGTTGCAAAAGTAAGTGAAGGAAATCGGGCTAGAACATTTGATGTAGTGTTTAATCCAATTAACTTTGACACCACATGTTCTTGCAAGCTATTTTATAGACTGGGAATTGCATGTAGACATCTGATTTGGGTTTGGAAAGCAAAAAGGTTGGAAACCATTCCTGATCAGTATATGCTACACAGATGGACTACTTTGGCATTGAAGAAACCAGTTTTTGACTTGGGAGGAAACCTATTGGAGCAATGTGCTAATATAGTTGACAAGAAAAAGCTGTTAAATGATTTATGGTCAGAAATTCACAGTTGTGTAAGTTTGGCAGAAGGCAAAGATGAAGATATTCAAGACCTTTTGATAAATCTTCAAGGAATAAGAAAAGATTTGGAGGCTAAGAGGATTGCAAGAACTAATGAAACAACATCTGGAAGTACAAACAACAAAGAACAAGACCTTGAGCTATTGATTGGAGTTAGTGTGCCAAATGAGATAATTGTTAAACCTCCAAAAATTTCAAAGAATAAAGGAACTGGAGTTCATGTATCAAATGAAGAGAATTCAAAAAAGAAAGGGCCTGTGATTGATGAGTCAAATGTTGAAACAAGAGGTAGAAGTGCAAAAAGGCTGAAGGGAGAAAAAGAGAAGGCTATAGAACAAAACCAGAAAAAGAAGAGATTATGCAGAGGTTGTGGTGAATGGAGTCATCATGATATTAGAAATTGTCCAAAAAAAGTGTAATGATACTTTTATATAAATAAAAATTAATATTTTTATATAAATATAAGTTTAGCATTTTTGTGTTTTTAATTTTGTTGAAATGAGCAAATAGTTAATTGCTCATTTGTCAAATGAGTTAACATTTTTTAAATCATACATTAAATCATACCTGTTTTTTCTTTTCGACAATTTGTTTAACAGGTTTAACAATGGTTAAGTATGTTTCTTTGGGATTGAAAATTTATATGGCTTGCAAACAGAGCAAATAATTTGTTGCTCATTTGTCAAATGAGCAAATAATTTGTTCCTCATTTGGAAAATGAGCAAATAGTTTGTTGCTCATTTGGCAAATGAACAATTAAATTTTTGCTGATTTTGTCACATGATCAAATAGCTAAATGAAAATGAGAGTTCTATTTTTGTGTTTTTAATTTGTTGAAATGAGCAAATAGTTAATTGCTCATTTGTCAAATGAGTTAACATTTTTTAAATCATACCTGTTTTTTCTTTTGGACAGTTTGTTTAACAGGTTTAACAATGGTTGAGTATGTTTCTTTGTGATTGAAAATTTATATGGCTTGCAAACAGAGCAAATAATTTGTTGCTCATTTGTCAAATGAGCAAATAATTTGTTGCTCATTTGTCAAATGAGCAAATAGTTTGTTGCTCATTTGGCAAATGAGCAAATAGTTTGTTGCTCATTTGGCAAATGAACAATTAAATTTTTGCTGATTTTGTCACATGATCAAATAGCTAAATGAAAATCAAATAAATGAGCCAAAGCATATTTAATAAGGTCAATTTTAGAAAATTATCTCCAGTACATATACATACCAAAAGTTATACAATTGTCACATAACAATTGAACTTAAACTTCTACTGTTTTACAAAAAGTTATACCAAAAGTTAACAAAAGGTATACCAAAAGTTATAAAACTAACACTTCTACTGTTTTAAAAAATGACCAATTGAACTTCAGTCTAATTACATCATAACAATTGAACTTCAGTCTTGAATCAATTTGAATGCTGCTGGATTGCTGCCCCTGCCTTTTGGTATGACTTCATTTTTCAGCCTGTTATCTCTTTAGGACAGTTTGTTTGACAGGTTCAACAATATTTACTTCACTTGAAATAATTGACAGAGTATACTTCAAACGAAGTTTTTCAATGATTATGTGCTGCAAAAAAAAAAATGAAACAATAATTCAGGGTAAGTATAGGTTAAGTAATTGCTTAATGCATGCATATGAGAGGAACGTAGCCTGAATGATAGGTTAATGGAAACTTCTACTGTTTGACAGGTAAGTATAGGTTAAGTTGCAACAAGCATGAAATGTAAAAGACTTACATTATTTTTCTTTAAACCTGAATTCCACTTTTGCATACCCATATAAGTTTCCATATGCCTCATCATTGCAACACCGCAATGCAAATGAGCATCATCAGAAGACTTCCAAGGTACATCAATCACTACAGATTCCGTGGACTTGATTTGTTTTGATAAAACAAGACTTTGTATTGTTCCTTCACCATCCATGACATATGAAAATGCACTTTTCTGAAAATAAACAAATAAATTAAAATAAGAACAAAACCAGGCAGAACAAATATAAACAGAACAAAATCTTGAGCCATACCAGATTTTTAAGAAATTTCTTGTTTTCTTTAGAACCATCTTTGTAATCAATAACCTCTATTGTACCACGCTCTATGGTGGTGTTAAAACATACCAAATAAAAATGACCACTTTCATATACCGGGAAAAAGTAAAGGTCAATATCTTTGTTTGAGATGAATGTTCTGCTAAATTCGAACTTCACAACATCATAGAACATCTTATTCCTTTCTCGAGCACTATCGTTTTCATAATGAAAAAGGCAATCCTAAAAAATACAAAAATAAGATGAATATTAATGAAAAAAGTAAATAACAATTGAACAAAGTGATGTGAAATCAAGAGATATATGTCTTTGAACAAAGTGATGAATATTAATGAAGGTGTACTCAAGAGATATTTTATTTGTCAAATGAGCATTGTGTTATTTGCTCATTTGACAAATGAGCATTCAATTATTTAGTCATTTGGCAAAAAATCAAGGAATTGTTTGCTTATTTCACAAATAAGCATTGAGTTCCTTGATTTCAGTTCTAGTTTTAGATTCTGAAAATATTTTGTGTCTGTGTCTGTGTGTGTGTGTGTGTCTGTGTGTGTGAGAGTGAGTGTAAGAGTTATGTTGTAAGGAGTAATTAGTATGGTTAAAAAAATGATGATGGTGATGATGGTGGTGATGGAAGGGTGCAGGGGACAGGGGCTGCAGTAAATATAATGAGCAAAATAAACTTAAAATGAGCAAATGACTATTATTGTTTAGCAATTATTGTTTTTTGCTCATTTCAACTTGCCATGGTCTGTATTTTGATGTGCTATATGGTTGCCCTTCTCTCTTTGAACTTAATGTCATGGAGCATTGGAGCTGGTATTGTGCTTCCTAAATACTTATTTGATCATTTATCAAATGAGCATTGAGTTATTTGCTCATTTGACAAATGAGCATTCAATTATTTGCTGATTTGACAAATGAGCATTCAATTATTTGCTCATTTGGCAAAAATTCAAGGAATTGTTTGCTTATTTGCTCATTTATTGTTTGCTCATTGTTCAAATGAGCAAATAATTAGTTACTCATTTGTCAAGTGAGCAAATACTTAGTTGCTCATTTTGTCAAATGAGCATATAGTTTGTTGCTCATTTGTCAAATGTTTAATTTTTGCAGATACAAAACATGTACATTCAAATATAAAAATTTATATGAAATGAGCAAAGTGAACATGAAAAAAATAAAACAAAATAACATGAATGCATTGAACTTACAGCTGCATTACATCTGAAAAAGAAACGTCCACTAGAATTGACATCTCTGTATTGCTCTTGATAATTCAGAACAGCGGACCATGCATTAATGACATCAGCATGAATTTTTTCTTGATTTTTTAACATTTCTAATTGAAAAAGCATCACTTCACTTTTAGGATCATCCTTCAATAAAAACACTACATCACTACATATAAGATTTAGGTAAGTTAAAATAATTTCAATCAAAGATATGTAAAGTGAGAAAGAAAATTAAGGTCAATTGCCAATTTTAGAACTGAAAAACTGAATAAATACTTACAAACGATTTTTTTTCTCAGAAAAAACTAAATCCAAAACACCTTTCTGAACTGCTGTTAATGGTGTATAAATGTTGATAACCCGAGACTTAAAAGGAGATCTTATTTGCAATGATGGTTGCACTATACGCTTTTTCTTTTGAATAGAACTCTCATTTTCAGCATCTCCTTTTCTCTTAAGTGCAACTGGATCATCTTGAGCATGCAAAGCATCAGCAACATCAACAACAATTGATGTAGAAACACCAACATCAGCAACAACAGGACCAACTACAAGAGCTACAATAGGAGCAACATCAGCAATGCTAGGGGACTTCTCCTGAGATTCAGATTCTTGAGAAAAGATGCCTAGGCTGAATGAAGAAGTACCACCTCCTTTGGCTACTGAACTCTTAGACTATATCTTCTAATTGACTCTCCAAGTTTTTTAACCACATGTTCAGCAGCCCTAGGAGCTTCAGAATCTGATATACCACTGGCTATTTGAACACACTCAGCAGCAATCCTAGAAACATCTATTGGTTGTGATTCTTTCTGTTGATCAACCCTAGCATCATTTCTTGATATTTTTGAAAACCTATCCCATGCTTCGATTACAGCAGCATCTTGCCAATACTGCTCATCTTGGCTAATCGAGAGAGGAATATCTTCCGTCATAGCTCTTGAGCTCATCCTATGCTCATCACAGATGCTCATTGCATCTTCCTTCAACTTTTGAATTTTTTCATTGTTCGGAAAATATTTGAAAGCAGCTTCGTGTTTTTGACTAAAATCCATATATGCCAGCACTAGATTTGTAGATGCTGCTGCAAGCTCCATAAGACATTTTTTGTAAAAAAAAAGAATAAAAAAAATTACATAATAAGATGAATATAAAAGAAATGAGCAAAGAAAATATGAAATGAGCAAGGTGGATGTGAAATGAGAAAAGTAATATAAACTACATATGAGCACCGAAGGTTTTGTTCCTTTGATATATAAATACCTTCTTTGGATCTTGTTCAGTTTCTTCATTTTTTGTAGAAATTGGATCAGGTTCTTCCTAAAATCAAGCAAAAAAAGATTTAGAAAATTTAATAAGACAAACCTAGTTTGACTAATAACCAGTGACAGTAGCAAGGAAAGTAAAATTTATTAGTCTGAGGGGTAATCATAGTTTGCATAAGTTTCTATTCTTGATCTTAATTACATTTTGTATTTTAGCATGTACTTGTGTCCCATTCTGCCTTTAGAGTGGTGTAGTTGTATGTTAGGCTAGCCATGGAATGTGAGACTTTATAAACAGACTTCGACATGCAACAGTTTAGTAACTCAACATTCAACTCCAGTCAATGTGCTACTGCAGTCAAGGATTGGTGTTGACAAATTCTAAGTTGTTGTAGTTGTAGTTGTAATTGCATAATCTGTAGTCTAGCAATGTCATGCATAAACTGTAGTTGTAATATGTAGTCTAGTGTAATGCATAATCTTTAGGAAATAATAAAATTTTAATTTCCTCATTTGACAAATAAGCTTATACCCACAATTACATATATACTACACCTTACCTACTATGCTTGCATGGTAATTAGCCAATTAGGACTAAATTCTTGGCATGCTTACATATAGTACTAACCTGTTCTCTAACCTGTTTTATAGAAATGGTTGAAAACATAATTTGCTTCCTTCTAATAATGTCAATATTGTGGCTGAAATGGATGTGTTGTTGTTGTTGTGTAAAATAAAAGCTTTGGCTGGGAAATACCAGTTTTAATTTTATAAGTTGCTCATTTCTGAAATGAGCAAAATTATTTGCTCATTTCAAAAACAAACAAGTAATTGCTTGCTTATTAGCAAATGAAAAAAAATTAAATTTCAGTACATAAGATTACCTTATTCACACGTAATTGAACTTTCATTTCAGAAGAATCGACTTTTTCCTATAAAAAAAAAATTAAAAATGAAATTACTTCCAATCCCATGGTTGAAGAACCAGCATCAACCTTTTTTCCCCGAATAGTTCCAAACCTTCCTTTAAATACTTCCAATTTTTCACGGGTTGACAACATAGCTGTTGTCCACCCTTTGAGGATTGGAATTTCACGGGCAGCTCGTACTTCTTCAAGTACAAATTTATCTACATAGAAAAACTACAAACAAGAATATAAAAAAATTAAAAAATTAAAAATCAACAAATAAATAAGAAATACTACTTTAAAAATAAACAATAATTATAGTATTACCATAAGAAACAACAACGACCCGGGAAAAGAACGAGTTGGAAGTTGTTCCCGGAATAGCTTTCCCTTCACTAGACAGTCAAGAATATACATAGACCAATTCAGATCCTTAATTTTATCAACATCAGACAAAAATGTAAGAATATCAGAATTGATATTCACATTTTGTTTACCTGACAAAAAAAATATGACCAAAAAGAGTAATGAGCAACAGAAATTGAAATGAGCAAAATAAACAGAGCAAACAGTTGGAATGTTGCTGTCATGGGAAAATACATATGGGACATTGCAAACATGAATGATAGCTTGTGGTTGAGATTGGTTAATCATCACTATATTAAAGGCAGAAGTTGGAAAAAAGTTGTTGAAAAATGGGCAAATAATTATTTGCTCATTTGACAAATGAGCATCGTATTGTTTGTGATATACTATGATCCCTATGAGATAGACAGTGATATTCTTTCATCCTAGAAGCTAGACATGAATTAATTCCATCAAATATAAACAACCGCCCAACCCAAGTAAACAGTTTGACTAACAACCAGACAGTAACAACTAATAACCAACAACCAGACAGTAGCAAACAGAGCAATCAGTTTGCTTTGCAAATGATCAAAACTAGACAGTAAGTTGTCGGCTGATTGAGGGTAGCACCATAGAGAAAAGTTTAGAACAGAGCAAACATGAGCAAAATAAGGTAGACATCAATTAAATGAGGCAGACATAGACATCAATTAAATAAGCAAACATGAGGAAAAATGAGGAAACATAAGTAAAAATGAGCAAACATAAATTGAAAATGAGAAATGAGAAACATAAACATAAACAAAATGAACAAACAGAAATTTAAATGGGAAATGAGCAAACAGTAGACCAGAGCAAACAGTTTGCTTTGCAAATGATCAAAACTAGACAGTAAGTTGTCGGCTGATTGAGGGTAGCAGCCTAGAGAAGAGTTTAGAACAGAGCAAACATGAGCAAAATAAGGTAGACATCAATTAAATGAGGCTGACGTAGACATCAATTAAATAAGCAAACATGAGCAAAAATGAGGAAACAAAGTAAAAATGAGCAAACATAAATTGAAAATGAGAAATGAGAAACGTAAACATAAACAAAATGAACAAACAGAAATTTAAATGGGAAATGAGCAAAATAAAAATAAAAGTTTACCATTCATCAAAGTAGATACACAGAGAACTACGAAGTTCCTTTTGAACATTGCACCAGCCGACTTGTGTCCCTTTAAAAATTCTTTCAGCTCACCTATCTTGATAGATAGTGAGTTGCTTTGGAATTGCTTCTTCCATTGTTTGACAACATTACTGTTTCTGGTAAAATTATTCTTGTCCATCTCTATGCCTCCTATCGGCAATCCAAGCACTTGGTGCACATGTTCTTCAGTAATTGGGAAAGGATCAGAATTAGGAATTTTTAATGAACATGTGTGTGCATCAAAGTGATGCACCAAAAATAATCCTAACTGCAAAGGCAGTTGGGTGACCTTCAAATACTCCATTGACCCAAACCCTATGTCCTTAATAGCTTTCAATTGGTTATCAGTAATTGATTCCATTACTTGCACAATGGATGACGGTGACATGCGACTATGCAATGTCCCATGTACATGAGACTTTAAACCATTTGTCTCCCCTGTTAAACCTACATCAGCAGCAACACCCGATGTACTGACACCAACAGCAGCAACATCAGCAACAACATCAGCAGGACGAGATGAACCAACTTCAACAGCAGCGACGACACCACCTCCTGATGACCTGACATCGTCAGCAGCAGCAGATGCACCAACAGTCACCTCCTGAATCCCTTTGGATGATCCCCCTGCAAAATTATTAAAAAAAAAGGTAGACATCACATAAATGAACCAACAGTCAACCCTGCAAGTGATGAATTTTCACAACTCATGCAGATAGCCTTAATCTAATTAACAAAACCAAGAAAACTTATTATCCAAAACAATTAAAACCTTCAAACATATCCACTCACTAGAAACACTGAGTTGCAACTACAAATTCATCAGTTACAGACTAGGACAACATTTCAAGTCCAAAATACTCTCATGACAAACTACACTTCATACAGATTAATTCCCCATGACATTAAAATAAAACCAATAAAACAGGGGTTTAAGTGTTTGTATTACCATTCGAAGGAAGTTTTATACTAGCTTTAATAGTACTCAAAACCAAACCTAAAATCTAAACCACAACATATTCACAACAAAATCGAGCAAAAATAGCAACAAAATCAAGCAAAAATCGCAACAATTCAAGCAACATTGTAGGATACAACAAAAACACAATTTCACAAATACACAACAAAATCTAAATTCATACACAATAAAACTAAAATCAAATTGATAATTCCTCTAAAAAACCAAAAAATACTGAAATCTACAAAAATAAACAAAGTAAACATAGACGAAATAAAAAGAAATTCAACACAATTAAACGAAAATCAAAATAAACAAGTAAAACAGGGGTTTGAGTGTTTGGATTACCGTTCAAAGGAAGTATTATGTAAAATATAACAATACTCAAAAGCAAAGCTAAACAACAACAGAATCACAACAGAATCAAGCAATTACCAACTTAATCGAGCAAAATTCGCAAAAAACACCTCAACATAAATTCGCATAATCACAACCAAAACCTAAATTCATGTAAATTATACTGAAATCGACTTTATAATTAGTCAAATATGCGAAAATTATACTGAAATCAACAAAAAAAAACAACCTAAAACATAATCAAAACAAAAATGTGCAAAAAAAAAGCATAAATAAAAACGAACATAAAACCGAAATCAACAAACAATAAACTTAAAATTAATTGAAAAACAAACAATGAAATTACATTGAAGAACAATTGAAGAAGATTGACGAAGATTTGATGAAATTTCAGAATGTGAAGCGTGAATGAGGTAGGAGGAGAGAGAAAATGCGCGAGAAATATGAATGAGGAGAGAGAATTGAGCGTGAAAGAGGAAAGAGGAGAGAGAATCGCGCTAGAAGAGGAAGGAGGAGAGAGAAAATGGCAGAATTTGATTTAAAAAAAATATGATTTTGTTTAAATCAGGATTGTATTGTGACCGTTGGATGTAATTGATCCAACGGTTATAATGAGTCCTCACATATAATAGTGGTCTCGCATAAGGAGTGTGGTCTCATATGATCCTATTTCTATATATATATATATATATATATATATATATATTATTATATATATATATATATATATATATATATATATATATATATATATATCGCATAAGGAGTGTGGTCTCATATGATCCTATTTCTCTATATATATATATATATATATATATATATATATATTATATATATATATATATATATATATATCGCATAAGGAGTGTGGTCTCATATGATCCTATTTCTATATATATATATATATATATATATATATATATATATATATATATATATATATATATATATATATATATATCGCATAAGGAGTGTGGTCTCATATGATCCTATTTCTATATATATATATATATATATATATATATATATATATATATATATATATATATATATATATATATATATATATATATATATATATATATATATATATTAAAAGTAATAATACCAATTTACTCGTAACTTCTACTTAAAAGTTTACTCTTAATTTCTTAAAATATAAAATTTACTTTCTAATTATATCAAATCAAGATTATTTATAAATAAGTATTTTTTTTAAATACATACGTACATGATAAAGTAACAAACAAAAATATTATTCCCTCCGTCCCATAATACCTGATACATTTCCTATTTTCATCCATCCATAATATTTGACATGTTACTAAATATGAAATGGGACCACTTTTTCCACATTTCTCTCTCCTCACCTACTTCACTCCCATCCCACTTTTTGTAATCTTGCAATATAAAAATATAAAAGAGAATCTTTTATACAATAAACAAATGTTTTAAATGGATCTATTTATAGTTTTCTTAAACTACATGTCCACCCTAACGTCCCAAATATTATGGGATGGAGGGAATATGACCAAGAATCCGTAGAAATTAGGATATTCAGATAAAATTGGAGAGAGAAAGCAAAAAGTGGATAACCAAATAGATAATGTAGTGGGGTAATTGGGTACAACTGGTAGACAAACACAGTTTCGAACTCCAGACCTTCATGTTGAGGACCTTAAATTTAACCACTGAGCCATAGAACATTCTAGCCTATATTAGTCAAGCAATAACATTATAAATAATTTTTGGGCCCCTTTTTTAGGGGGCCCTGTGCGGCCGCTCAACCTACAACCGTGCCGCCCCAGCATTTAACATAAATTAGTTATAACTAACTAAAACAGATCTCTACCGTTGTCTGGTTCGTATTGTGGGAGATGATTTGGAAGATATAATATTTTTTGTCGCATAAAAATTCAAAAATTATTCTTTTTTCTTTATTGTCATCGTTTTTCTTATCAATATTGAAAAAACAAACCTCGACAATCCATAAGTATTTTTGACAACAAAAGTTGCATATAATTATTTTATTGGTAGCTGTAACCCTAACTGAAAATTCTAATCCACTACTATATGTGGGTAGAGTAGAAGTAAAAGAATCACATTCTTAACATCATTTTCGTGATTGCTTTTTGACTAACATATTATACATGCCTATTGTTCATCACCCTTCATATTTGATCAAAATATATAGATTTTGTATTGTTTGAGAAGTCGTGTACTTAATATAAATTGGTTGTGCTTGTATTTGTTTGAGGAGTCTTATATAGACGAGGTAGAACTACAAAAATTCTATTATTAGTAATCAACAGTTGTTTTATGGCTTGTAAACTACTAAATTTCTATCTCATAGAACTCCACTTTCCAGCAATAATCTACTAATCTACCAACTGATATACTAATAAATCACAAGTTCAACACTAAACATGCAACATCATCCTTTGTTACTCTAAGTTATATTCAAAAGGAATTAAAACATGTAGTAAGGCAATCTACTAGTTATGTGTTCTCGGTGTGATCTTTAACTTGTATCTGGGTTAGTAATGGTTTATTATCTAACTGGGTACCTGCATAGTCAACGTAGATTAGCTGCCCTCGGGGTTGTTTCCGAGGATAACCGCTCTGATATTAAAATTAGTACTGGTTGGATATGATTAAGAAAGTAATTTTAGAGTGGAAAATACCTTAGAAGTAAAATATGTTGGGGTATTTGTAGAAATCCCCAGGCAAGTGCCACGTGTATGTTTACGTGGATGTCTTGTCAAGCGAGCGGTAAGTGTCCACGTGGCCAAAAGCAGGTTTCCATATGAATGATAGTGTAGGGCGATATGGTCATATGGGTATAGGACTTGTACTGGCTTGGACATGATCCAATTACAAAGATCTAACTCGTTTACCAATCCCATATTGGTAGCTGGCCTGGTATCATGTCATACATTATAAGGGTAGGGACCACAATGTCATTACGAGTTAAAGAGCATTAAGTTTCATTGTGTCACCATGAAGCCTAGATGCACAAAAAAAGTAAATGGAGTTGAGGTAGAAAGAACATCCTTGGCATGTTTTCAGCATATGCTTCTTATATTAGCACATTCCCGGTAAAGGGAGCAAGTTGAGTTGCTTAAATAGCGCGCTCTCATTTATTCATTTGATCTCCAAGAGACCAAGAGCAAAGGTTGAAAATATTTGCTTGGTGAATTACAGTGCGATTCTCCTTTGGCAT